GTGTTATTAGCATCGCTTTTCTTCAACTTACCGCTATCATATTTTCTTGTTGTCGTAGTTGGTTTTGCCATTGCTCCCGTGTTTGGTATTATTCGTATTACTATTATCATTATTATTATAAAGATTGTCTAAGCCATTATTCTTACTGTCATTATCATCGTCATCGTTATCATTTGCATCATCATCATTACTTTCATTCTTTATTTTTATCACCATTACTATTATTATTATTATTATTATTATTATTATTATTATTATTTTTTATATATATTTATTCGCATTATTCATTTTTATTACTACTACTATTTTCATCATTATTACTAGTATTTCTATTTTTTGTTATCAATATTGTAATGATGTTTATTATGGTCGGTTATGTTATTCGTATTTTGAGTTATCGCTATTCTTATTCTTAGTATTTTCGTATCATGATTTTCGCCAGTCCTGACGATGACACGACAACGACGACGATGACGAGGAGTACGGGGAGGAGGAGGAGGATCAGGAATAGCAGGAGGAGGAGGAGGAGGAGGAGGAGGAGGAGGAGGAGGAGGAGGAGGAGGAGGAGGAGGAGGAGGAGGAGGAGGCCGTCGCCGTCTTGGTGCCATCGTCGAAGAAGACTACAGTGGCATATGTCCGCGCGGATTGCCTGGATCGGCGTTGGGGTCCCGTCTCCGGCGTGCCTCGAGCGCGCCAGGGGGCGGCGCCAGAGGCTCTTCCTGGAGGCAAGGAAAGTCCGTGCGGACCTCCCACAGAAACACTCGGGCGCACCATGTGCTGTAACAGTTATTCCCCTCCAGGTGGACACCTCGGACGCCCTCGCCTCCCCCTTCTGTTGCAGTCTCGAAGGCCACCTGGGGTGTGCCGTCCCGAAGGCCGCTCGGAGCCGTGTTGGGGCATCCAGGGGCACCTTTGGAGGCCCCAGGGGAGCACCCTCGAGGAGGCATCATATTGGAGTCACTCTGCGCCGCCTCGGTGGGCAGTCGAAAGGCCGTCGTGCCGTCGATTGACGATTTTCGTCGATTCTGGGGGGGCGTCCACAGGGCTGGACGTTGGTGAGCTGCGCCGGTAAAGAGGCCCTGGGGTCGCGCGTTCAGGAGCAGCTCAAGATACTCTGAGAGCATCGTATCCACCACTAGCAGCTCCTGGCGTGTTTCGAGATTCAGTTTTTGCTCCCCCTGCTCTTCCTCTTCCTCCGCCTCCCCCATCTCCTCGCCCTTCCTCCGCGGCCGTTTTGGCTCAAGCTTCCGCCGCGACACTTGCGCATCGGAATTTTTCCCTCGCGTCTCCCGCAGGCTTGCTCTTAGCAATGGCGGCTCCTCGCTCCGCCATCCTGACCGCGGCCGTCGTGCTCGCCTGCACCAGCCTGATGGCCGCTTTCGTGCCCTCGCCGGTCGCGTCGCGCCCGACAGCGCAGTCGCTGCCGACGGCGGCGCTCAGCGCGGTGGCGCTCGCGGCGCCCACCGCCGCCCACGCGGAGGGCTCGAGCGTGTGGATCCCGGCCCTGTCCGCCGTCGGCGCCGGCTTCGCCATCGGGCTGGCCGCCATCGGGTCCGGAGTGGGCCAGGGCATCGCCTCCGGCCGCTGCATCGACGGCATCAGCCGCCAGCCGGAGGCTCCCGGCCAGCGTGCTCCCTTCGCGTTTTTTGTTGTCCTGTTTCTTCTCTCTCTCTCTCACTCTTTCTCTCACTCTATTTCTCTCTTTCTCTCGTTCCTCCTCACTCGCTTCTCAAGTACTGTGCGTATGTATTTGAGCCGGCTGGGGGTGTGGGGTGGCCCTGCCTTGGTCTTGGCCAGCAGAGAAGGAGGAGAAAGGGGCCCCCTCGTCGCCACGGCTGGACGCGGCTTGAACAACTGGTCATCGAATCTGGCATCCTGCTGAGTTCAGGTTGCCGACGATCTGCGCGGCGTGCTCCTCCTGTCCCTCGCCTTCATGGAGTCGCTGACGATCTACGGGCTCGTCATTGCGCTGGTGCTGCTCTTTGCCAACCCGCTCATCAAGTAGGTGGGTAGGCATCACGTGCGAGGAGGAAGGCTGCTGTGAGAGCAGGGCCATTTGAAAAGAGACCTCGGTCCTCCTGCTCCTGTCGCTTCCTGGCTCGCCGGTGCCCCATCCCGGCTTCTGCCCAGGAGGACGAGCGAGAAGGGCCGACCTCTCCTCAGAGGCAAGGTCAGGGCGGGACCAGTCTCAGGGGGGAACGCTTCGAGGTGCGAGGTTCGAGGTTTTCGGGTGTTTTCGTCGGTTTCCGTCGGTTTTCCAGCCTCGAGATGCTCTCCAGCAGCTGCGCCTTGTCGAGAGCTTTCCGAGGAAGCCCGGATCGTCCCGAGTGGCCGCTGGGGAGCCAAGTTATGACCTGAAAGCCAGGGGACAACACTAGGGGGAGGCAGTCTCGGGGGGAATGCATCGACGCCCAATCGCCCAATCATCGACGATAGCGGTCCGATCGCCCACCCCGCCCATGAACGTGCTATTTCGCTATCGGGGGCATATTGCCGATCTCTCGGCGATGCATCGCCGAGTCCAGCTCGATGTTCCCCCCCTGTGCTGGTCCCCTGGTGCTTTTCGGTTCGTAACTCTGGTCTCTGGCGGCCGTTTGGGACGAAACGGGCACCTCCAGGACACTCTCGGCGAGGCGCAGCTGCTGGAAGGTATCCCGAGACTGGAAGCCCGCTGAGAACCGTCGAATACGTCCGAAAGCCTCAACGCCCCCGACCTCGAAACTTCCTAACCCCCTCAGCATCCCCCCCTCTGATCTGGCCCCTTCTAACGCCCCCCCCCCATCTCCATTGCAGTTTCCTCCATACTCGCTGTGCACCCCGTGCCATCGTCCTTCTTTCGCTCTGGTGTCTTCGCGGCGCCGAGCAGGCAGAGGAGGAGGAGGAGGAGGAGGAGGAGGAGGAGGAGGAGGAGGAGGACCAGTGTAAACCCAAGACTCCTCAATGATGTTGGAAGAAAGCCCCCCTGCAAGCTCCCTCTTCATAGGCCCCTACAAGGGTTCATTTCTACTCAGGGAAGTGCCCCGATGCGAGGCAACCGTTGGAAGATCCTGAAGCGTGCCAAAACACTATTTTCGGAGCTGCAACGCCACGAATCAACTTGACTGTTGCGTCTTGCGTCCTGGCGATCTCGAATCGTGCCAGAACGCCATTCCTGGGACTTTAGCACTTCTGGTACAGTAGCCATGGGAATCCGTGGAACTCTTGCAATTTCTCAAGCCGGACGTGCGCGGCGCTAAGGTGAGAGCCACATTTTGAAGGTGAAACGACCTCAATCCGTGAAGCCCTTGCCATTTTTTAGACGAATGTGCGCGGCGCCAATGCGAGAGCTACATTTTGAAAACGGGCCGCCCTCAATTCGTGAAGCTCTTGCACATTTCGCGCGGCGCTAAGGCGAGGGCCACTTCTTGAAAACCAGCCGCCATCCGTTCGTGAAACTCTTGCGAATGTTTAAGACGAGTGTGCGCGGCGCCAATGCGAGAGCCACATTTTGAAAATGGCCCGTCCTCAATTCGTGAAGCTCTTGCAAGTCTTTAAGACAAATGTGCGCGCAGCTAAGGCGAGAGCCACACTTTGAAAACCATCCGCCTTCAATCCGTGAAGCTCTTGCGCAGTTTTTGAAACGAATGTACGCGGCGCCATGGCGAGATCCACATCTCGGAAGCGGCACGCCCTCCATCTGTGAAACTGTTGTCAATTTTTGAGTTTTAGGATCCTAAATGTTGAGGAAGTCTCAAGCGAAACGCCCGGAGGTTCGCGCGGATTTCTTGGATCGGCGCTGGGCCCCTGTCTCTGGCGCGCCTCCGGCGCGCTAGCGGCGGCGCCAGAGGCGCCGCCAGGGGGGGTCCAGTGCCAATCCAAGGAAGTCCGCGCGGACCTCCCACGCGCCGTGTGCCTCAATAGTTTTTTTACTCCGGGTGGGCACCTCGGACGCCCCCCCCCCCAGGTGAAGTCTCGAAGGCCAGCTGGGGTGTGCCGTCTCGAAGGCCACTCGGAGCTGTGTTCGGGCATCCACCAGGGACACCTTTGGAGACCCCAGGGGAGCACCTCGAGGAGGCATCTTGGAGTCACTCTGCGCCGCCTCGGTGGGCAGTCGAATGGCCGTCGTGCCGTCGATTGACGATTTGTGCCGATTCTGGGGGGGCGTCCAGAGGGCTGGATGTTGGTGAGCTGTGCTGGTAGAGTGTGCCTTCCAGGCCCTGGGGTCGCGCGTTCAGGAGCAGCTCAAGATATTCTGATCACATCGCGGCCTGCACTAGCAGCTTCTGGCGCGTTTCTGGAGTTAATTTTCGCGCCCCCTGCTCTTCCTCTTCCTCCGCCTCCCCCATCTCCTCGCCCCTCCTCCGCGGCCGTTTTGGCTCAAGCTTCCGCCGCGACACTTGCGCATCGGAATTTTTCCCTCGCGTCTCCCGCAGGCTTGCTCTTAGCAATGGCGGCTCCTCGCTCCGCCATCCTGACCGCGGCCGTCGTGCTCGCCTGCACCAGCCTGATGGCCGCTTTCGTGCCCTCGCCGGTCGCGTCGCGCCCGACAGCGCAGTCGCTGCCGACGGCGGCGCTCAGCGCGGTGGCGCTCGCGGCGCCCACCGCCGCCCACGCGGAGGGCTCGAGCGTGTGGATCCCGGCCCTGTCCGCCGTCGGCGCCGGCTTCGCCATCGGGCTGGCCGCCATCGGGTCCGGAGTGGGCCAGGGCATCGCCTCTGGCCGCTGCATCGACGGCATCAGCCGCCAGCCGGAGGCTCCCGGCCAGCGTGCTCCCTTAGCGTTTTTTGTTGTCCTGTTTCTTCTCTCTCGCTCTTTCTCTCACTCTATTTCTCTCTTTCTCTCGTTCCTCCTCACTCGCTCCTCAAGTACTGTGCGTATGTATTTGAGCCGGCTGGGGGTGTGGGGTGGCCCTGCCTTGGTCTTGGCCTGCAGAGAAGGGGGAAGAACGGGGCCCCCTCGTCGCCACGGCTGGACGCGGCTTGAAGAACTGGTCATCGAATCTGGCATCCTGCTGAGTTCAGGTTGCCGACGACCTGCGCGGCGTGCTCCTCCTGTCCCTCGCCTTCATGGAGTCGCTGACGATCTACGGGCTCGTCATTGCGCTGGTGCTGCTCTTTGCCAACCCGCTCATCAAGTAGGTGGGTAGGCATCACGTGCGAGGAGGAAGGCTGCTGTGAGAGCAGGGCCATTTGAAAAGAGACCTCGGTCCTCCTGCTCCTGTCGCTTCCTGGCTCGCCGGTGCCCCATCCTAGCCTCTGCCCAGGAGGACGAGCGAGAAGGGCCGACCTCTCCTCAGAGGGCAGGTCTTGGCGGGACCAGTCTCAGGGGGGAACGCTTCGAGGTGCGTGGTTCGAGGTTTTCGGGTGTTTTCGTCGGTTTCCGTCGGTTTTCCAGCCTCGAGATGCTCTCCAGCAGCTGCGCCCTGTCGAGAGCTTTCCGAGGGTGCCCGGATCGCCCCGAATGGCCGTTGGGGAGCCAAGTTATGACCTGAAAGCCAGGGGACAACACTAGGGGGAGGCAGTCTCGGGGGGAATGCATCGACGCCCAATCGCCCATTCATCGACGATAGCGTTCCGATCGCCCACCCCGCCCATGAAAGTGCGGTTTCGCTATCGTGGGCATTTTGCCGATCCCTCGGCGATACATCGCCGAGTCCAGCTCGATGTTCCCCCCCTGTGCTGGTCCCCTGATGCTTTTCGGTTCGTAACTCTGGCCTCTGGCGGCCGTTCGGGACGAAACGGGCACCTCCAGGACACTCTCGGCGAGGTGCAGCTGCTGGAAGGTATCCCGAGACTGGAAGCCCGCCGAGAACCGTCGAATACGCCCGAAAGCCTCAACGCCCCCGACCTCGAAACTTCCTAACCCCCTCACCGTCCCCCCCTCTGATCTGGCCCCTTCTAACGCCCCCCCATCTCCACTGCAATTTCCTCCATACTCGCTGTGTACCCCGTGCCCTCGTCCTTCTTTCGCTCTGGTGCCCTCGCGGCGCCGAGCAGGCAGAGGAGGAGGAGGAGGATGCGGAGGAGGAGGAGGAGGAGGAGGAGGAGGAGGACCAGTGTAAGCCCAAGACTCCTCAATGATGTTGTAAGAAAGCCTCCCTGCAAGCTCCCTCTTCATAGGCCCCTACAAGGGTTCATTTCTACTCAGGGAAGTGCCCCGATGCGAGGCAACCGTTGGAAGATCCTGAAGCGTGCCAAAACACCATTTTCGGAGCTGCAACGCCACGAATCAACTTGACTGTTGCGTCTTGCGTCCTGACGATCCCGAATCGTGCTAGAGGGCCATTCCTGGGACTTTAGCACTTCTGGTACGGTAGCCATGGGAATCCGTGGAACTCTTGCAATTTTTCAAGCCGGACGTGCGCGGCGCTAAGGCGAGAGCCACATTTTGAAGTGGAAACGACTTCAATCCGTGAAGCCCTTGCAATTGTGTAGACGAATGTGCGCGGCGCTAAGCGAGAGCTACATACATTTTGCAAACTGGCCGCCCTCAACTTGTGAAGCTCTTGCACATTTCGCGCGGCGCTAAGGCGAGGGGCCACTTCTTGAAAACCAGCCGCCCTCCATTCGTGAAACTCTTGCGAATGTTTAAGACGAGTGTGCGCGGCGCTAATGCGAGAGCCACATTTTGAAAATGGCCCGTCCTCAATTCGTGCCACTCTTGCAAATCTTTAAGACACATGTGCGCGCAGCTAAGGCGAGAGCCACATTTTGAAAACCATCCGCCTTCAATCCGTGAAACTCTTGCGCAGTTTTAACGAATGTACGCGGCGCCATGGCGAGATCCACATCTCGGAAGCGGCACGCCCTCCATCTGTGAATCTGCTGTCAAGTTTTGAGTTTCAGGATCATAAATGGTGAGCAAGTCTCAGGCGAAACGCCCGGCCCGCCCTTCCGAATGGCCTCGGGGTGCGACAGGAAGGAGTTATTCATAAGGAGACGGACTGGAGGAGGAGGCCGAGGTCTTCTGGTGCTCTGAACAAAACGGCGTAGGCGTAAGAATTCGGAGGTTCGCGCGGATTTCTTGGATCGGCGCTGGGCCCCTGTCTCTGGCGCGCCTCCGGCGCGCTAGCGGCGGCGCCAGAGGCGCCGCCAGGGGGGGGTCCAGTGCCAATCCAAGGAAGTCCGCGCGGACCTCCCACGCGCCGTGTGCCTCAATAGTTTTTTTACTCCGGGTGGGCACCTCGGACGCCCCCCCCCCAGGTGCAGTCTCGAAGGCCAGCTGGGGTGTGCCGTCTCGAAGGCCACTCGGAGCTGTGTTCGGGCATCCAGGGACACCTTTGGAGACCCCAGGGGAGCACCTCGAGGAGGCATCTTGGAGTCACTCTGCGCCGCCTCGGTGGGCAGTCGAGTGGCAGTCGTGCCGTGGATTGACGATTTGTGCCGATTCTGGGGGGGCGTCCAGAGGGCTGGATGTTGGTGAGCTGTGCTGGTAGAGTGTGCCTTCCAGGCCCTGGGGTCGCGCGTTCAGGAGCAGCTCAAGATATTCTGATCACATCGCGGCCTGCACTAGCAGCTTCTGGCGCGTTTCTGGAGTCAATTTTCGCGCCCCCTGCTCTTCCTCTTCCTCCGCCTCCCCCATCTCCTCGCCCCTCCTCCGCGGCCGTTTGGGCTCAAGCTTCCGCCGCGACACTTGCGCATCGGAATTTTTCCCTCGCGTCTCCCGCAGGCTTGCTCTTAGCAATGGCGGCTCCTCGCTCCGCCATCCTGACCGCGGCCGTCGTGCTCGCCTGCACCAGCCTGATGGCCGCTTTCGTGCCCTCGCCGGTCGCGTCGCGCCCGACAGCGCAGTCGCTGCCGACGGCGGCGCTCAGCGCGGTGGCGCTCGCGGCGCCCACCGCCGCCCACGCGGAGGGCTCGAGCGTGTGGATCCCGGCCCTGTCCGCCGTCGGCGCCGGCTTCGCCATCGGGCTGGCCGCCATCGGGTCCGGAGTGGGCCAGGGCATCGCCTCTGGCCGCTGCATCGACGGCATCAGCCGCCAGCCGGAGGCTCCCGGCCAGCGTGCTCCCTTAGCGTTTTTTGTTGTCCTGTTTCTTCTCTCTCGCTCTTTCTCTCACTCTATTTCTCTCTTTCTCTCGTTCCTCCTCACTCGCTTCTCAAGTACTGTGCGTATGTATTTGATCTTGGCCAGCTGAGAAGGGGGAAGAACGGGGCCCCCTCGTCGCCACGGCTGGACGCGGCTTGAAGAACTGGTCATCGAATCTGGCATCCTGCTGAGTTCAGGTTGCCGACGACCTGCGCGGCGTGCTCCTCCTGTCCCTCGCCTTCATGGAGTCGCTGACGATCTACGGGCTCGTCATTGCGCTGGTGCTGCTCTTTGCCAACCCGCTCATCAAGTAGGTCGGGGGAGGGCATCACGTGCGAGGAGGAAGGCTGCTGTGAGAGCAGGGCCATTTGAAAAGAGACCTCGGTCCTCCTGCTCCTGTCGCTTCCTGGCTCGCCGGTGCCCCATCCTAGCCTCTGCCCAGGAGGACGAGCGAGGAGGGCCCGCCTCTCCTCAGGGGCAAGGTCAGGGCGGGACCAGTCTCAGGGGGGAACGCTTCGAGGTGCGTGGTTCGAGGCTTTCGGGCGTTTTCGTGGGTTCCCGTCGGTTTTCCAGCCTCGGGATGCTCTCCAGCAGCTGCGCTTCGTCGCAGATGCCCAGGTCGTCCCGAATGGCCGCTGCGGAGCCGAGTTATGGCCTGAAAGCCAGGGGGCAACATTGGGGGGAGGCAGTCTCGGGGGGAACGCATCGACGCCCAATCGCCCATTCATCGCCGATAGCGGTCCGATCGCCCACCCCGCCCATGAAAGTGCGGTTTCGCTATCGGGGGCATATTGCCGATCTCTCGGCGGTGTATCGCCGAGTCCAGCTCGATGTTCCCCCCCCCTGTGCTGGTCCCCTGGTGCTTTTCGCTTCGTAACTTTGGCCTCTGGCGGCCGTTCGGGACGAAACGGGCGCCTCCAGGACGCCCTGGGCCAGGCGCAGCTGCTGGAAGGTATCCCGAGACTGGAAGCCCGCCGAGAACCGACGAATACTCCCGAAAACCTCAACGCCCCCGACCTCGAAACTTCCTGACCCCCTCAGCGTCCCCCCCGCTGATCTGGCCCCTTCTAACGCCCCCCCTCATCTCCTTTGTAGTCTCCTCCATCCTCGCTGCGCACCTCCCGCGCCCTCGTCCTTCTTCCGCTCGGGAGCCCTCGCGGCGCCGAGCAGGCAGAGGAGGAGGAGGAGGATGACCAGTGTAAACCCAAGACTCCTCAACAATGTTGGAAGAAAACCTCCCTGCGAGCTCCCTCTTCATAGGCCCCTACAAGGGTTCATTTCCACTCAGGGAAGTGCCCCGATGCGAGACAACCGTTAGAAGGTCCTGAAGCGTGCCAAAACACAATTTTCGGAGCTGCAACGCCACGAATCAACTTGACTGTTGCGTCTTGCGTCTTGACGATCCCAAATCGTGCCAGAACGCAATTCCTGGGACTTTGGCACTTCTGGTACGGTAGCTATGGGAACTCGTGGAACTCTTGCAATTTCTCAAGCCGGATGTGCGCGGCAATAAGGCGAGAGCCACATTTTAAATTGGGAACGACTTCAATCTGTGAAGCCCTTGCAATTGTCTAGACGAATGTGCGCGGCGCTAAGGCGAGAGCTACATGTTGAAAACGGGCCGCCCTCAACTTGTGAAGCTCTTGCACATTTCGCGCGGCGCTAAGGCGAGGGCCACTTCTTGAAAACCAGCCGCCCTCCATTCGTGAAACTCTTGCGAATGTTTAAGATGAGTGTGCGCGGCGCTAATGCGAGAGCCACATTTTGAAAATGGCCCGTCCTCAATTCGTGCAACTCTTGCGAATGTTTAAGACACATGTGCGCGCAGCTAAGGCGAGAGCCACATTTTGAAAACCATCCGCCTTCAATCCGTGAAACTCTTGCGCAGTTTTTGAAACGAATGTACGCGGCGCCATGGCGAGATCCATATCTTGGAAGCGGCACGCCCTCCATCTGTGAATCTGCTGTCAAGTTTTGAGTTTCAGGATCATAAATGGTGAGCAAGTCTCAGGCGAAACGCCCGGCCCGCCCTTCCGAATGGCCTCGGGGTGCGACAGGAAGGAGTTATTCATAAGGAGACGGACTGGAGGAGGAGGCCGAGGTCTTCTGGTGCTCTGAACAAAACGGCGTAGGCGTAAGAATTCGGAGGTTCGCGCGGATTTCTTGGATCGGCGCTGGGCCCCTGTCTCTGGCGCGCCTCCGGCGCGCTAGCGGCGGCGCCAGAGGCGCCGCCAGGGGGGGGTCCAGTGCCAATCCAAGGAAGTCCGCGCGGACCTCCCACGCGCCGTGTGTCTCAATAGTTTTTTTACTCCGGGTGGGCACCTCGGACGCCCCCCCCCCCAGGCGCAGTCTCGAAGGCCAGCTGGGGTGTGCCGTCTCGAAGGCCACTCGGAGCTGTGTTCGGGCATCCAGGGGCATCTTTGGAGACCCCAGGGGAGCACCTCGAGGAGGCATCTTGGAGTCACTCTGCGCCGCCTCGGTGGGCAGTCGAGTGGCCGTCGTGCCGTCGATTGACGATTTGTGCCGATTCTGGGGGGGCGTCCAGAGGGCTGGATGTTGGTAAGCTGTGCTGGTGGAGTGTGTCTTCCAGGCCTTGGGGTCGCGCGTTCAGGAGCAGCTCAATATATTCTGATCACATCGCGGCCTGCACTAGCAGCTTCTGGCGCGTTTCTGGAGTCAATTTTCGCGCCCCCTGCTCTTCCTCTTCCTCCGCCTCCCCCATCTCCTCGCCCCTCCTCCGCGGCCGTTTTGGCTCAAGCTTCCGCCGCGACACTTGCGCATCGGAATTTTTCCCTCGCGTCTCCCGCAGGCTTGCTCTTAGCAATGGCGGCTCCTCGCTCCGCCATCCTGACCGCGGCCGTCGTGCTCGCCTGCACCAGCCTGAGTCGCGCCCGACAGCGCAGTCGCTGCCGACGGCGGCGCTCAGCGCGGTGGCGCTCGCGGCGCCCACCGCCGCCCACGCGGAGGGCTCGAGCGTGTGGATCCCGGCCCTGTCCGCCGTCGGCGCCGGCTTCGCCATCGGGCTGGCCGCCATCGGGTCCGGAGTGGGCCAGGGCATCGCCTCCGGCCGCTGCATCGACGGCATCAGCCGCCAGCCGGAGGCTCCCGGCCAGCGTGCTCCCGTCGCTTTTTTCATTGTCCTGTTTCCTCTCTCTCACTCTTTCTCTCATTCTATTTCTCTCTTTCACTCGTTCCTCCTCACTCGCTTTTCAACTACTGTGCGTATGTATTTGATCTTGGCCAGCTGAGAAGGGGGAAGAACGGGGCCCCCTCGTCGCCACGGCTGGACGCGGCTTGAAGAACTGGTCATCGAGTTTGGCATCCTGCTGAGTTTCAGGTTGCCGACGACCTGCGCGGCGTGCTCCTCCTGTCCCTCGCCTTCATGGAGTCGCTGACGATCTACGGGCTCGTCATTGCGCTGGTGCTGCTCTTTGCCAACCCGCTCATCAAGTAGGTCGGGGGAGGGCATCACGTGCGAGGAGAAAGGCTGCTGTGAGAGCAGGGCCATTTGAAAAGAGACCTCGGTCCTGCTGCTCCAGTCGCTTTCTGGCTCGCCGGTGCCCCATCCCAGCCTCTGCCCAGGAGGACGAGCGAGGAGGGCCCGCCTCTCCTCAGGGGCAAGGTCAGGGCGGGACCAGTCTCAGGGGGGAACGCTTCGAGGTGCGTGGTTCGAGGTTTTCGGGTGTTTTCGTCGGTTTCCGTCGGTTTTCCAGCCTCGAGATGCTCTCCAGCAGCTGCGCCTTGTCGAGAGCTTTCCGAGGGTGCCCGGATCGCCCCGAATGGCCGTTGGGGAGCCCAGTTATGACCTGAAAGCCAGGGGACAACACTATGGGGAGGCAGTCTCGGGGGGAATGCATCGACGCCCAATCGCCCATTCATCGACGATAGCGGTCCGATCGCCCACCCCTCCCATGAACGTGCTATTTCGCTATCGGGGGCATATTGCCGATCCCTCGGCGATACATCGCCGAGTCCAGCTCGATGTTCCCCCCCTGTGCTGGTCCCCTGGTGCTTTTCGGTTTGTAACTCTGGCCTCTGGCGGCCGTTCGGGACGAAACGGGCACCTCCAGGACACTCTCGGCGAGGTGCAGCTGCTGGAAGGTATCCCGAGACTGGAAGCCCGCCGAGAACCGTCGAATACGCCCGAAAGCCTCAACGCCCCCGACCTCGAAACTTCCTAACCCCCTCAGCGTCCCCCCCTCTGATCTGGCCCCTTCTAACGCCCCCCCCATCTCCACTGCAGTTTCCTCCATACTCGCTGTGTACCCTGTGCCCTCGTCCTTCTTTCGCTCTGGTGCCCTCGCGTCGCCGAGCAGGCAGAGGAGGAGGATGAGGATGAGGAGGAGGAGGAGGAGGAGGACCAGTGTAAACCCAAGGCTCCTCAATGATGTTGTAAGAAAGCCTCCCTGCAAGCTCCCTCTTCATAGGCCCCTACAAGGGTTCATTTCTACTCAGGGAAGTGCCCCGATGCGAGGCAACCGTTGGAAGATCCTGAAGCGTGCCAAATCACCATTTTCGGAGCTGCAACGCCACGAATCAACTTGACTGTTGCGTCTTGCGTCCTGAAGATCCCGAATCGTGCCAGAAGGCAATTCCTGGGACTTTAGCACTTCTGGTACGGTAGCCATGGGAATCCGTGGAACTCTTGCAATTTTTCAAGCCGGACGTGCGCGGCGCTAAGGCGAGAGCCACATTTTGAAGTGGAAACGACTTCAATCCGTGAAGCCCTTGAAATTGTTTAGACGAATGTGCGCGGCGCTAAGCGAGAGCTACATTTTGCAAACGGGCCGCCCTCAACTTGTGAAGCTCTTGCACATTTCGCGCGGCGCTAAGGCGAGGGCCACTTCTTGAAAACCAGCCGCCCTCCATTCGTGAAACTCTTGCGAACGTTTAAGACGAGTGTGCGCGGCGCTAATGCGAGAGCCACATTTTGAAAATGGCCCGTCCTCAATTCGTGCCACGCTTGCAAATCTTTAAGACAAATGTGCGCGCAGCTAAGGCGAGAGCCACATTTTGAAAACCATCCGCCTTTAATCCGTGAAACTCTTGCGCAGTTTTAACGAATGTACGCGGCGCCATGGCGAGATCCACATCTTGGAAGCGGCACGCCCTCCATCTGTGAATCTGTTGTCAAGTTTTGAGTTTCAGGATCATAAATGGTGAAGAAGTCTCAGGCGAAACGCCCAGCCCGCACCTCGAGGAGACATCTTGGAGTCACTCTGCGCCGCCTCGGTGGGCAGTCGAATGGCCGTCGTGCCGTTGATTGACGATTTGTGCCGATTCTGAGGGGGGCCGTGCAGAGGGCTGGATGTTGGTGAGCTGTGCCGGTAGAGTGTGCCTTCCAGGCCTTGGGGTCGCGCGTTCAGGAGCAGCTCAAGGTATTCTGATCACATCGCTGCCTGCACTAGCAGCTTCTGGCGCGTTTCTGGATTCAATTTTCGCGCCCCCTTTATCTTCCTCCGCCTCCCCCATCTTCTCGCCCCTCCTCCGCAGCCGTTTTGGCTCAAGCTTCCGCCGCGACACTTGCGCATCGGATTTTTTCCCTCGCGTCTCCCGCAGGCTTGCTCTTAGCAATGGCGGCTCCTCGCTCCGCCATCCTGACCGCGGCCGTCGTGCTCGCCTGCACCAGCCTGATGGCCGCTTTCGTGCCCTCGCCGGTCGCGTCGCGCCCGACAGCGCAGTCGCTGCCGACGGCGGCGCTCAGCGCGGTGGCGCTCGCGGCGCCCACCGCCGCCCACGCGGAGGGCTCGAGCGTGTGGATCCCGGCCCTGTCCGCCGTCGGCGCCGGCTTCGCCATCGGGCTGGCCGCCATCGGGTCCGGAGTGGGCCAGGGCATCGCCTCCGGCCGCTGCATCGACGGCATCAGCCGCCAGCCGGAGGCTCCCGGCCAGCGTGCTCCCGTCGCTTTTTTCATTGTCCTGTTTCCTCTCTCTCACTCTTTCTCTCATTCTATTTCTCTCTTTCACTCGTTCCTCCTCACTCGCTTTTCAACTACTGTGCGTATGTATTTGATCTTGGCCAGCTGAGAAGGGGGAAGAACGGGGCCCCCTCGTCGCCACGGCTAGACGCGGCTTGAAGAACTGGGCATCGAGTTTGGCATCCTGCTGAGTTTCAGGTTGCCGACGACCTGCGCGGCGTGCTCCTCCTGTCCCTCGCCTTCATGGAGTCGCTGACGATCTACGGGCTCGTCATTGCGCTGGTGCTGCTCTTTGCCAACCCGCTCATCAAGTAGGTCGGGGGAGGGCATCACGTGCGAGGAGGAAGGCTGCTGTGAGAGCAGGGCCATTTGAAAAGAGACCTCGGTCCTGCTGCTCCTGTCGCTTCCTGGCTCGCCGGTGCCCCATCCCAGCCTCTGCCCAGGAGGACGAGCGAGGAGGGCCCGCCTCTCCTCAGGAGCAAGGTCAGGGCGGGACCAGTCTCAGGGGGGAACGCTTCGAGGTGCGAGGTTCGAGGCTTTCGGGCGTTTTCGTGGGTTTCCGTCGGTTTTCCAGCCTCGGGAGGCTCTCCAGCAGCTGCGCTTCGTCGCAGATGCCCAGGTCGCCCCGAATGGCCGCTGGGCAGCCGAGTTATGACCTGAAAGCCAGGGGGCAACATTGGGGGGAGGCAGTCTCGGGGGGAACGCATCTACGCCCAATCGCCCATTCATCGCCGATAGCGGTCCGATCGCCCACCCCTCCCATGAACGTGCTATTTCGCTATCGGGGGCATATTGCCGATCCCTCGGCGATACATCGCCGAGTCCAGCTCGATGTTCCCCCCCTGTGCTGGTCCCCTGGTGCTTTTCGGTTCGTAACTCTGGCCTCTGGCGGCCGTTCGGGACGAAACGGGCACCTCCAGGACACTCTCGGCGAGGTGCAGCTGCTGGAAGGTATTCCGAGACTGGAAGCCCGCTGAGAACCGTCGAATACGCCCGAAAGCCTCAACGCCCCCGATCTCGAAACTTCCTAACCCCCTCAGCGTCCCCCCCTCTGATCTGGCCCCTTCTAACGCCCCCCACATCTCCTTTGTAGTCTCCTCCATCCTCGCTGCGCACCTCCCGCGCCCTCGTCCTTCTTCCGCTCGGGAGCCCTCGCGGCGCCGAGCAGGCAGAGGAGGAGGAGGAGGAGGAGGAGGAGGAGGAGGAGGAGGAGGAGGAGGAGGAGGAAGAGGAGGACCAGTGTAAACCCAAGACTCCTCAACAATGTTGGAAGAAAGCCTCCCTGCAAGGGAAGTGCCCCGATGCGAGACAACCGTTAGAAGATCCTGAAGCGTGCCAAAACACAATTTTCGGAGCTGCAACGCCACGAATCAACTTGACTGTTGCGTCTTGCGTCTTGACGATCCCGAATCGTGCCAGAACGCCATTCCTGGGACTTAGCACTTCTGGTACGGTAGCTATGGGAGCCCGTGGAACTCTTGCAATTTCTCAAGCCGGATGTGCGCGGCAATAAGGCGAGAGCCACATTTTAAATTGGAAACGACTTCAATCTGTGAAGCCCTTGCAATTGTCTAGACGAATGTGCGCGGCGCTAAGGCGAGAGCTACATTTTGAAAACGGGCCGCCCTCAACTTGTGAAGCTTTTGCACATTTCGCGCGGCACTAAGGCGAGGGCCACTTCTTGAAAACCCGCCGCCCTCCATTCGTGAAACTCTTGCGAATGTTTAAGACGAGTGTGCGCGGCGCTAATGGCCCGTCCTCAATTCGTGCAACTCTTGCGAATGTTTAAGACACATGTGCGCGCAGCTAAGGCGAGAGCCACATTTTGAAAACCATCCGCCTTCAATCCGTGAAACTCTTGCGCAGTTTTAACGAATGTACGCGGCGCCATGGCGAGATCCATATCTTGGAAGCGGCACGCCCTCCATCTGTGAATCTGCTGTCAAGTTGTGAGTTTCAGGATCATAAATGGTGAGCAAGTCTCAGGCGAAACGCCCGGCCCGCCCTTCCGAATGGCCTCGGGGTGCGACAGGAAGGAGTTATTCATAAGGAGACGGACTGGAGGAGGAGGCCGAGGTCTTCTGGTGCTCTGAACAAAACGGCGTAGGCGTAAGAATTCGGAGGTTCGCGCGAATTTCTTGGATCGGCGCTGGGCCCCTGTCTCTGGCGCGCCTCCGGCGCGCTAGCGGCGGCGCCAGAGGCGCCGCCAGGGGGGGGTCCAGTGCCAATCCAAGGAAGTCCGCGCGGACCTCCCACGCGCCGTGTGCCTCAATAGTTTTTTTACTCCGGGTGGGCACCTCGGACGCCCCCCCCCCAGGTGCAGTCTCGAAGGCCAGCTGGGGTGTGCCGTCTCGAAGGCCACTCGGAGCTGTGTTCGGGCATCCAGGGACACCTTTGGAGACCCCAGGGGAGCACCTCGAGGAGGCATCTTGGAGTCACTCTGCGCCGCCTCGGTGGGCAGTCGAGTGGCCGTCGTGCCGTCGACTGACGATTTGTGCCGATTCTGGGGGGGCGTCCAGAGGGCTGGATGTTGGTGAGCTGTACCGGTGGAGTGTGCCTTCCAGGCCCTGGGGTCGCGCGTTCAGGAGCAGCTCAAGATATTCTGATCACATCGCGGCCTGCACTAGCAGCTTCTGGCGCGTTTCTGGAGTCAATTTTCGCGCCCCCCTGCTCTTCCTCTTCCTCCGCCTCCCCCATCTCCTCGCTCCTCCTCCGCGGCCGTTTTGGCTCAAGCTTCCGCCGCGACACTTGCGCATCGGAATTTTTCCCTCGCGTCTCCCGCAGGCTTGCTCTTAGCAATGGCGGCTCCTCGCTCCGCCATCCTGACCGCGGCCGTCGTGCTCGCCTGCACCAGCCTGATGGCCGCTTTCGTGCCCTCGCCGGTCGCGTCGCGCCCGACAGCGCAGTCGCTGCCGACGGCGGCGCTCAGTGCGGTGGCGCTCGCGGCGCCCACCGCCGCCCACGCGGAGGGCTCGAGCGTGTGGATCCCGGCCCTGTCCGCCGTCGGCGCCGGCTTCGCCATCGGGCTGGCCGCCATCGGGTCCGGAGTGGGCCAGGGCATCGCCTCCGGCCGCTGCATCGACGGCATCAGCCGCCAGCCGGAGGCTCCCGGCCAGCGTGCTCCCGTTGTGTTTTTTGTTGTTTTGTTTTTTCTCTCTCTCGCTCTTTCTCTCACTCTATTTCTCTCTTTTCTTTGTTCCTCCTCACTCGCTTCTCAAGTACTGTGCGTATGTATTTGAGCCGGCTGGGGGGGTGTGGTGGCCCTGCTTTGGTCTTGGCCTGCAGAGAAGGAGGAGAAACGGGCCCCCTCGTCGCCACGGCTGGACGCGGCTTGAAGAACTGGTCATCGAATCTGGCATCCTGCTGAGTTTCAGGTTGCCGACGACCTGCGCGGCGTGCTCCTCCTGTCCCTCGCCTTCATGGAGTCGCTGACGATCTACGGGCTCGTCATTGCGCTGGTGCTGCTCTTTGCCAACCCGCTCATCAAGTAGGTAGGGAGGGCATCACGTGCGAGGAGGAAGGCTGCTGTGAGAGCAGGGCCATTTGAAAAGAGACCTCGGTCCTCCTGCTCCTGTCGCTTCTTGGCTCGCCGGTGCCCCTTCCCGGCCCCTGCCCAGGAGGACGAGCGAGAAGGGCCCGCCTTTCCTCAGGGGCAAGGTCAGGGCGGGACCAGTCTCAGGGGGGAACGCTTCGAGGTGCGAGGTTCGAGGTTTTCGGGCGTTTTCGTTGGTTTCCGTTGGTTTTCCAGCCTCGGGAGGCTCTCCAGCAGCTGCGCTTCGTCGAGAGCTTTCGGGGGGTGCCGGGATCGTCCCGAATGGCCGCTGGGGAGCCGAGATATGACCTGAAAGCCAGGGGGCAACGACGTTAGGGGGAGGCAGTCTCGGGGGGACGCATCGACGCCCAATCGCCCATGCATCGCCGATAGCGGTCCGATCACCTACCCCGCCCATGAACGTGCGGTTTCGCTATCGGGGGCATATTGCCGATCTCTCGGCGGTGTATCGCCGATTCCAGCTCGATGTTCCCCCCTCTGTGCTGGTCCCCTGGTGCTTTTCGGTTCGTAACTCTGGCCTCTGGCGGCCGTTCGGGACGAAACGGGCACCTCCAGGACACTCTCGGCGAGGCGCAGCTGCTTGAAGGTATCCCGAGACAGGAAGCCCGCCGAGAACCGACGAATACGTCCGAAAACCTCAACGCCCCCGACCTCGAAACCTCCTAACCCCCTCAGCGTTCCCCCTCTGATCTGCTCCCTTCTAACGCCCCCCCCATCTCCTTTGCAGTCTCGTCCATCCTCGCTGTGCACCCCGCGCCCTCGTCCTTCTTCCGCTCGAGTGCTCTCGCGGCGCCGGGCAGGCAGGAGGAGGAGGAGGAGGAGGAGGAGGAGGAGGAGGAGGAGGAGGAGGAGGAGGAGGAGGAGGAGGAGGAGGAGGAGGAGGAGGAGGAGGAGGAGGAGGAGGAGGAGGAGGAGGAGGAGGAGGAGGAGGACCAGTGTAAGCCCCAGACTCCTCAACGATGTTGGAAGAAACCCTCCGTACAAGCTCCCTCTTCATAGGCCCCTACACGGGTTCATTGCCACTCAGGGAAGGGCCCCGTTTCGAGAACCGAAGGAAGATCCTGAGGCATGCCAGGCATGCCAAAACAACGTTTTCGGAGCTGCAGCGCCACGAATCAACTTGGCTGTGGCGTCTTGACGATCCCGAATCGTGCCAGAGCGCCTTTCCTGGGACCTTAGCACTTCTTGTACGGTAGCTATGGGAACCCGTGGAACTCTTGCAATTTCTTAAGCCGGATGTGCGCGGCGCTAAGGCGGTAACCATATTTTGAAAGGGAAATGGCTAGAATCCGTGAAGTTCTTTTAATTCCCAACCATCCTGTGGTGTTAGGTCCTCGTTTTGAAGAGACGGTCCCCGCGTTCCTTTCCTCTTCTCCTCTTCTCCTTCTCCTCCCCCTCCTCCCCTCCCTCCTCATTCTTCCATGCGTTTCACCAACCCAGCACAGCGTTTCGTGGCCCCATAGGGAACTCCACCGAAGCCCCCAGTGGGACCGTCCGCATGCGTCCCCCGCACCCGATTTGGCATTGTCACCCACCCTGTGCAGCGCTCCGTGGCCCCATAGGGAGCTCCACCGAAGCCCCCAGTGGGACTGCCCGCATGCGTTCCCCACATTCAGTTTGCCATTTTCACCCACCAACTCCAGCGTTCGTGGCCCCATAGGGAGCTCCACCGAAGCCCCCAGTGGGACCGCCCGCAGGCGTTCCCCACATTCAGTTTGGCATTTTCACCCATCCTGTACAGCGTTTCGTGGCCCCATAGGGAGCTCCACCGAAACCTCCAGTGGGACCGCCCGCGTGCGCCCCCCACACCCGATTTGGCATTGTCACCCACCCTGTGCAGCGCTCCGTGACCACAAAGGGAACCCCACCGAAACCCCCAGTGGGGCCGCCCGCATGCGTCCCCCACATCCAATTTGGCATTTTCACCCACCCAGTACAACGTTTTGTGGCCCAATAGGGAACCCCACCGAAACCCCCAATGGGACCGCCCGCATACGTCCCGCACGCCCAATTTGGCATTTTCACCCGCCCAGTACAGCGTTTCATGGCCCCATAGGGAGCTCCACCGAAGCCCCCAGTGGGACACCGCCCTCATGCGTCCTCCACACCCAGTTTGCCATTTCCACCCACCCAGTACAGCGTTTCGTGGCCCCATAGGGAGCTCCACCGGAGCCCCTAGTGGGACCGTCCGCATGCGTCCCCCGCACCCGATTTGGCATTGTCACCCAGCCTGTACAGCGCTTCGTGGCCCAATAGGGAACCCCACCGAAGCCCCCTGTGGGACCGCCCGCATGTGTCCCCCACCGTAGCCATTTTGGCTCAAGCCATTTTGGCTCAAGGCCCGGGCGCCCGCGGGTCGGGCGGGGGCCGGGGGCGGCGCGCGCGGGGCGCGCCGCGCATGCAAGGGGATGGCTGCTGGGCGGCCGTCCCCTGTCTCCCTGACGGCTGGGCCTGGGCGTGCTGGTGGGGGCCAGTCAGGCTCGTCACGGCGCCGGTGGCCCCCGCCCCAGGGGTCTGGCTCGGGGGGGCCAGCGGCGGGGCCCGGGCAGGCGCGGCACCCGCTGCACCCGCAGAGGCGGCGGCGGCCGCAGTTGGCGGAGCGTGCGGTGCGGCCGGCGCCGCCGCCGGCTGCGCCAGCGGCGCCGTGGCGGCAGCGGCCAGCGGCGCCCCTGGCGCGGAGGAGCCCGGCGCGGGGCTCGGCGGGGGCATCGGGCCGCCGCGGGGGCCGCTCCGAGGAGCCGACGTCGGGGCGGCGACGCATCCGGCGCCAGCGCAGCCCGAGCCCTGGACCAGATCCCTCCGCCAGGGCTCCCCTGGCGGCGAGGCGTGGCAGCCGCGGCGGTACGCCCCGCGACAGCGGCGCCAGGGCGCCGGCGCGTGGCAAGGGATCGGCGGGCTGGGGCAATGGGCGGCGTTCGCGGAGTCGGACGCGTCGCGGCCAGGGCCGTGCTCCCGCGGCGACGTCCAAGGCAGCAGCCCCGCGCCAGCCGTCGCGGCTGGCGACGACGCCTCCTCCTCCGGAGTCCAAGGGGCAGCCGCCAGCGCCGGGCCGCGGCAGCTGTCCGCCCAGCAGCGAGGAGGACAGCAGCGACAGCAGCAGCGGCTACAGCGACAGCGGCGCCAGCGGCGCCGCCCGGGTCGGTCCAGCCGCCGCAACGGCGCCGCAGGCAGCGCCCCCGGCTGCTTCGGCAGCGACGGTTCCGGCTGCTCTGGCAGCGACGGCACCGGCTGCTCAGACAGCGACGGCTCCGCCCTCAGCGCCAGCGGCCGGCGTGGTAGGGCCCCAGCCAGCTGCCGTGGGGGGGGCCCCCAGTGCGCAGCTGGTCGCGGCAGCTCTGCACCAGGCGGGATGGCAGGGCTTCTCCGCGGTGGATCTCCTGGAGGCGTCCAGGAGGAAGGCGATCCTCCTGCAATGGGAGGTGCCCCGAGCCTCCTGAGCGGCAGCGACGGTGAGCCCGGCTGCTGCGGGCCCCTGAGCCCCCGATGCCCGAGCGTCAGCTCCGGCAGCGACGGTGGGCCCGGCTGCGGAGCCGAGGGCGACGGCCCCTCCGGAGTCATCGACATCGGCATCGAGGCCAGCTGCGACGCGCTGGGGCTCTGGCATGGCGCGCCAGGGCGTTCGGGCGGCGCGACCGCGTTTGCCGCGCCTCCGCGCCAGCGCTCGGCCTGCGGCGGGGCCCCGCTGGACGATGCGGTCCCGCGGTTGCCCGGCGTGCGCCCGGCCGAGCGCTGCTGAGTGCACCTCTCGGAGGACGACGTGCCCCCGGACCCCCCCGTGGGCGACGGTTACGCGGCTGGTTGGGCTGCTGCTGGGTCGCCCCGCGCAGCCTCCCGCCCCTGCGCAGAGGCGGCGCGGCCTCCGGCCCTCCACGAGGGCGACGGTTCTGAGGCGGCCAGCCCGCCTAGCGTTGGCACCAGTGCCGCCGCGGCGGGCGCGCTGGTCCCGGCCCCCCCCACGCGGGCGGAGGGCGACGGTGTGGAGCGCGACGGAATCTCCAGGGAGGATTTCGTGCAGGAGCTGCGGGATGGCCTGGCCAGCTCGGGGTGGGCGGCAGCGCGCGCGCTGGCGCTGGCGCTTCGCGTCGCCATTCGCGGTTTGGGCTTCTGCGAGGCGTGTGCCCGGCTCGAGGAGGCCGCCTCGGCGATCCCGGATGCGCTGGGCCGCCGGCGGGTCGTCGAGCGGGTGCTGCAGGCGGCCGAGCGGCCAAGGCGCGCGCGCGTCGCTCGCCGCCTGGCCGGCGCCGTCGCGGGGTAAGCGGCCCCCCTGCTCTGGGGCGGCGGGGGTTGACGCCATGCGGCGGCTGTGCAAGCTCCCGGCCGCAGAGCTGGCGCGGGAGTTCCGGGCGAGGGCCGAGGCGTTCCGGGCCTTCCCTGAGCTGGCGGCGGAGGCGGCGCAGCCGGCGGCGGCTGCGGAGGGCGACCCCGCCGTGGACGGGCCCGCGGCGCTGGCAGCGGCGGCGCGGCGCCTGGGCGGGGCTGGCGGGGCCTGAGCGGCCCCGGGCGCGGGGCGCTTGCTTTTCCCCCCTGTGGGGCGGGCGGCGCGGCTGGGCAGGGACGAGCTCTGCGAGCTCGCGGGCCTGCTGGGCGCCAGGGGTAGAGAGCGGCACCCCGCAAAGTCGGGGTGCCAGGTAGCGGCCGCGGCCGCGCCTGTCTGCACTGCTTGCTGCTGCTGCTGCTGCCTCTCGTCTTGTTCTCCCCCCCCTGCTGCTGTCCTCTCCTCTCCTCGGCCACGGGGCGCCCACTCGAGCTTGTAATTAGCCTGGCGAAGGACCCAACCATATGCAGTTGTGAGTACCGTCGTTGTGAGTATCGCAATCGGTGGAGATCCCTGTGGGCCGCGAAAGGCTGTCCTGGGTAGGGGGGGCGCATGTGACTGCAGCAACTGTTGCCTTCGGTGGAGCTCCCTATGGGGCCACGAAGCGCTGTCCTGGGTGGGTGGAGACGCATGCGAACTGCGGCACTGGGGCTTTCGGTTGAGCTCCCTGTGGGGCAACGAAACGCTGTCCTGGGTGGGGGAGACGCATGCGAGTGCAGTTGTGGCCTTCGGTGGAGCTCCATATGGGGCCACGAAGCGCTGTCCTGGATTGGGGAGACGCATGCGAACTGCGCCACTGGGACTTCGGTGGAGCTCCTTATGGGGCTACGAAAGGTTGGCCTGGGTGGGGGAGACGCATGCGAACTGCGCCACTGGGGCCTTCCTGGGTGGGGGAGACGCATGCGAACTGCGCCACTGGGACCCTCGGTGGAGCTCCCTATGGGGCCACGGAACGTTGTCCTGGGTGGGGGAGACGCATGCGAACTGCGCCACTGGGGCCTTTGGTGGAGCTCCCTATGGGGCCACGAAGCGTTGTCCTGGGTGGGGGAGACGCATGCGAACTGCGCCACTGGGACCCTCGGTGGAGCTCCCTATGGGGCCACGAAACGCTGTCCTGGGTGGGGGGGACGCATGCGAACTGCGCCACTGGGACCTCGGTGGAGCTCCCTATGGGGCCACGAAACGCTGTCCTGGGTGGGGGAGACGCATGCGAACTGCGCCACTGGGGCCCTCGGTGGGGCTCCCTATGGGGCCACGAAACGCTGTCCTGGGTGGGGGGGACGCATGATAACTGCGCCACTGGGACCCTCGGTGGAGCTCTCTATGGGGCCACGAAACGCTGTCCTGGGTGGGGGAGACGCATGCGAACTGCGGCATTGGGACCCTCGGTGGAGCTCCCTATGGGGCCACGAAGCGCTGTCCTGGTTGGGGGAGACGCATGCGAACTGCACCAATGTGGCCTTCGGTGGGGCTCCCTATGGGGCCACGAAACGCTGTCCTGGGTGGGGGAGACGCATGCGAACTGCGCCACTGGGACCCTCGGTGGAGCTCCCTATGGGGCCACGAAGCGCTGTCCTGGGTGGGGGGGACGCATGATAACTGCGCCACTGGGACCCTCGGTGGGGTTCCCTATGGGGCCACGAAACGCTGTCCTGGGCGGGGGAGACGCATGCGAACTGCGCCACTGGGACTTCGGTGGAGCTTCCTATGAGGCCACGAAACGTTGTCCTCCTGGATGGGGGAGACGCATGCGAACTGCGCCACTGGGGCCTTCGGTGGAGCTCCCTATGGGGCCACGAAACGCTGTCCTGGGTGGGGGAGACGCATGCGAACTGCGCCACTGGGACTTCGGTGGAGCTTCCTATGGGGCCACGAAAAGCTGTCCTGGGTGGGGGAGACGCATGCGAACTGCGCCACTGGGACCCTCGGTGGAGCTCCCTATGGGGCCACGAAACACTGTCCTGGGTGGGGGAGACGCATGCGAACTGCGCCACTGGGCCCTTAGGTGGAGCTCCCTATGGGGCTACGAAACGTGTGAGGGGTGCGCCGTGAGCAGAGGCAACGAGGGAGAGGAGGGCGGAGGGAGGAGGCAGCGGGAGGAGGAGGAGGAGTGAGGGAGACGCGGGGCACCGTCTCTTCAAAACGAGGACCCAACACCACAGGATGGTTGGGGAAAAAAGTGTCCCCCATACCCAACTTGGCATTTTCACCCACCCAGTACAGCGTTTCGCGGCCCCATAGGGAACCCCACTGAAGCCCCCAGTGGGGCCGTCCGCATGCGTCCCCCGCACCCGATTTGGCATTGTCACCCACCCTGTGCAGCGCTCCGTGGCCCCATAGGGAGCTCCACCGAAACCTCCAGTGGGACCGCCCGCATGCGTCCCCCACATCCAATTTGGCATTTTCACAAACCCAGTACAGCGCTTCGTGGCCCCAATGGGAGCCCCACCGAAACCCCCAGTGGGGCCGCCCGCATGCGTCCCCCACATCCAATTTGGCATTTTCACCCACCCAGTACAGCGTTTCGCGGCCCCATGGAGAGGGAGCTCCACCGAAACCCCCAATGGGACCGCTCGCATGCGTCCCACACGCCTACGTTGGTATTTTCACCCACGCAATGCAGCGTTTCGTGGCCTCATAGGGAGCTTCACCGACGGCCCCAATGCTACCGCCCTCATGCGTCCCCCCCCCCGCCCAGCGCAGCGCTTCGTGGCCCCATAGGGAGCTTCACCGAAAAACATATTCACAATTGCGGTACCCGCAACTTCATATGGTTGGGTCCTTAGCCAAGATTTGTTTTAGACGAATGTGCGCGGCGCTAAGACGAGAGCCACATTTTGAAAACGGGCTGCCTTCAATGTGTGAAACTCTTGCATATTTCGCGCGGCGCTAAGGCGAGAAACCAGCTCCCCTCCATTCGTAAAGTTCTTGCAAATTTTTAAGACGAGTATGCGCGGCGCTAACGCGAGAGCCACATTTTGAAAACGGCCCGTCCTCAATTCGCGAAGCTCTTGCAAATCTGTAAGACACATGTGCGCGGAACTAAGGCGAGAGTCACACATTGAAAACCATTCGCCCTCAATCCGTCAAGCTCGAACACAATTTTAAACACGACTGTACGCGGCGCTACAACGAGAGCCACATCTTGCAAGCGGCACGCCCTCCATTTATGAAACTGTTGTCAATGTGTAAGCTTTAGGATCATAAATGCTGAGGACGCCTCGGGCGAAAAGCCCAGCCCGCCCTTCCGAATGGCCACGGGGTGGGACAGGGAGGAAGTATTCATAAAGGGCACGGAGTGGACGAGGAGGCACGAGGTCTTCTGGTGCTCTGAACAAAACGGCGTAGGCGTAAGACTTCGAAGGTTGGCTCGGCGCTGGGCCCCTGCCTCTGGCGCGCCTCCCCGTGCGCCAGGGCCGGCGCCAGGGGCGCCGCCAGGGGAGCCCAGCGCCGGTCCAAGAACGTCCGCGCGGACCTCCCACGCACCGTGTGCTCCAGTACCGGGTGGGCCCCCCGGACGCCCCCCGCGTGCAGTCTCGAAGGCCACCTGGGATGTGCCGTCTCGAAGACCACTCGGAGCTGCGTTCGGGCATCCAGGGGCACCTCTGGAGACCCCAGGGGGGCACCTTCAAGGAGGCATCTTGGAGTCACTCTGCGCCGCCTCGGTGAGCAGTCGAATGGCCGTCGTGCCGTCGATTGACGATTTGTGCCGATTCTGGGGGGGCGTCCAGAGGGCTGGATGTTGGTGAGCTGTGCTGGTAGAGTGTGCCTTCAGGCCCTGGGGTCGCGCGTTCAGGAGCAGCTCAAGATATTCTGATCACATTGCTGCCTGCACTAGCAGCTTCTGGCGCGTTTCTGGATACAATTTTCGCGCCCCGTGCTCTTCCTCTTCCTCCGCCTCCCCCATCTCCTCGCCCCTCCTCCGCAGCCGTTTTGGCTCAAGCTTCCGCCGCGACACTTGCGCATCGGAATTTTTCTCTCGCGTCCCCCGCAGGCTTGCTCTTGGCAATGGCGGCCCCTCGCTCCGCCATCCTGACCGCGGCCGTCGTGCTCGCCTGCACCAGCCTGATGGCTGCTTTCGTGCCCTCGCCGGTCGCGTCGCGCCCGACAGCGCAGTCGCTGCCGACGGCGGCGCTCAGCGCGGTGACGCTCGCGGCGCCCACCGCCGCCCACGCGGAGGACTCGAGCGTGTGGATCCCGGCCCTGTCCGCCGTCGGCGCTGGCTTCGCCATCGGGCTGGCCGCCATCGGGTCCGGAGTGGGCCAGGGCATCGCCTCCGGCCGCTGCATCGACGGCATCAGCCGCCAGCCGGAGGCTCCCGGCCAGCGTGCTCCCGTCGTGTTTTTTGGTTGTCCTGTTTCCTCTCTCTTACTTTGTCTCACTCTGTCTCTCACTGCATCTCTCTCTCTCTCTCTCTTTCTCTCTTTCTCTTGTCCTCCGCACTCGCTTCTCAAGTACTGTGTGTATGCATTTGAGCCGGCTGGGGGTGTGAGGTGGCCCAGCATTGGTCCTGGCGAGCAGAAAAGGAGGAGAAAGCGGCCCCCTCGTCGCCACGGTTGGACGCGGCTTGAATAACTTGTCATCGAATCTGGCATCCTGCTGCACCTTCAAGAGTTTCAGGTTGCCGACGACCTGCGCGGCGTGCTCCTCCTGTCCCTCGCCTTCATGGAGTCGCTGACGATCTACGGGCTCGTCATTGCGCTGGTGCTGCTCTTTGCCAACCCGCTCATCAAGTAGGTCGGGGGGGCATCACGTGCGAGGAGGAAGGTTGCTGTGAGGGCAGGGCCATTTGAAAAGAGACCTCGGTCCTCCTGCTCCCGTTGCTTCCTGGCTCGCCGGTGCCCCATCCCAGCCTCTGCCCAGGAGGACGAGTGAGGAGGGCCCGCCTCTCCTCAGGGGCAAGGTCATGGCGGGACCAGTCTCAGGGGGGAACGCTTCGACGTGCGAGGTTTGAGGTTTTCGGGCGTTTGCATTGGTTTCCTTCGATTTTACAGCCTCGGGATGCTCTCCAGCAGCTGCGCTTCGTCGAGAGCTTTCCGCGGATGCCCAGGTCGTCCCGAATGGCCGCTGGGGAGCCGAGTTATGACCTGAAAGCCAGGGGGCAACATTGGGGGGAGGCAGTCTCGGGGGGAACGCATCGACGCCCAATCGCCCATTCATCGCCGATAGCGGTCCGATCGCCCACCCCGCCCATGAAAGTGCGGTTTCGCTATCGGGGGCATATTGCCGATCTCTCGGCGGTGTATCGCCGAGTCCAGCTTGATGTTCCCCCCCCTGTGCTGGTCCCCTGGTGCTTTTCGGTTCGTAACTCTGGCCTCTGGCGGCCGTTCGGGACGAAACGGGCGCCTCCAGGACGCCCTCGGCGAGGTGCAGCTGCTGGAAGGTATTCCGAGACTGGAAGCCCGCCGAGAACCGACGAATACGCCCGAAAACCTCAACGCCCCCGACCTCGAAACTTCCTGACCCCCTCAGCGTCCCCCCCTCTGATCTGGCCCCTTCTAACGCCCCCCACATCTCCCTTTGCAGTCTCCTCCATCCTCGCTGCGCACCTCCCGCGCCCTCGTCCTTCTTCCGCTCGGGAGCCCTCGCGGCGCCGAGCAGGCAGAGGAGGAGGAGGAGGACCAGTGTAAACCCAAGACTCCTCAACAATGTTGGAAGAAAACCTCACTGCAAGCTCCCTCTTCATAGGCCCCTACAAGGGTTCATTTCCACTTAGGGAAGTGGCCCGATGCGAGACAACCGTTAGAAGATCCTGAAGCGTGCCAAAACACCATTTTCGGAGTTGCAACGCCACGAATCAACTTGACTGTTGCGTCTTGCGTCTTGACGATCCCGAATCGTGCCAGAACGCCATTCCTGGGACTTTAGCACTTCTGGTACGGTAGCTATGGGAACCCGTGGAACTCTTGCAATTTCTCGAGCTGGATGTGCGCGGCAATAAGGCGAGAGCCACATTTTAAATTGGAAACGACTTCAATATGTGAAGCCCTTGCAATTGTTTAGACGAATGTGCGCGGCGCTAAGGCGAGAGCTACATTTTGAAAACGGGCCGCCCTCAACTTGTGAAGCTCTTGCACATTTCGCGCGGCGCTAAGGCGAGGGCCACTTCTTGAAAACCAGCCGCCCTCTATTCGTGAAACTCTTGCGAATGTTTAAGACGAGTGTGCGCGGCGCTAATGCGAGAGCCACATTTTGAAAATGGCCCGTCCTCAATTCGTGCAACTCTTGCGAATCTTAAGACACATGTGCGCGCAGCTAAGGCGAGAGCCACATTTTGAAAACCATCCGCCTTCAATCCGTGAAACTCTTGCGCAGTTTTTGAAACGAATGTACGCGGCGCCATGGCGAGATCCACATCTTGGAAGCGGCACGCCCTCCATCTGTGAATCTGCTGTCAAGTTTTGAGTTTCAGGATCTTGAATGGTGAGCAAGTCTCAGGCGAAACGCCCGGCCCGCCCTTCCGAATGGCCTCGGGGTGCGACAGGAAGGAGTTATTCATAAGGAGACGGACTGGAGGAGGAGGCCGAGGTCTTCTGGTGCTCTGAACAAAACGGCGTAGGCGTAAGAATTCGGAGGTTCGCGCGGATTTCTTAGATCGGCGCTGGGCCCCTGTCTCTGGCGCGCCTCCGGCGAGCTAGCGGCGGCGCCAGAGGCGCCGCCAGGGGGGGTCTAGTGCCAATCCAAGGAAGTCCGCGCGGACCTCCCATGCGCCGTGTGCTTCAATAGTGTTTTTACTCCGGGTGGGCACCTCGGACGCCCCCCCCCCAGGTGCAGTCTCGAAGGCCACCTGGGGCGTGCCGTCTCGAAGGCCACTCGGAGCTGTGTTCGGGCATCCACCAGGGACACCTTTGGAGACCCCAGGGGAGCACCTCGAGGAGGCATCTTGGAGTCACTCTGCGCCGCCTCGGTGGGCAGTCGAGTGGCCGTCGTGCCGTCGATTGACGATTTGTGCCGATTCTGGGGGGGGCGTGGGCTGGATGTTGGTGAGCTGTGCCGGCAGAGTGTGCCTTCCAGGCCCTGGGGTCGCGCGTTCAGGAGCAGCTCAAGACATTCTGATCACATCGCGGCCTGCACTAGCAGCATCTGGCGCGTTTCTGGAGTCAATTTTCGCGCCCCCTGCTCTTTCTCTTCCTCCGCCTCCCCCATCTTCTCGCCCCTCCTCCGCAGCCGTTTTGGCTCAAGCTTCCGCCGCGACACTTGCGCATCGGAATCCGTAAGGGCTTCGCCCCCTGCCGCCGGCCCCCTCTCTCGGAGAATGGGCCATGGAAGAGCTAAGTCATGAGGCCTTGGCGCTGTCGTGAAGCAGTATCGGAACTTCATGCGAAGCCGATTCGCAATCAGCAAAACCAACTGATCACAAGAGGGGTTACCACACCTGGCGATTGGTAAGACGTGTATGGTTTACGGGCTTGGTTACCACACCTTGCGATTAAAGGGCCGAGGGAGTTCTCGCAGTTTGGGTTACCACGCCTTGCGATGGATGTGCGTGAAGGGTGGCACCGAATTTCAGAAATGTGGCAAATCCCCTGTGTTTTTGGACCCTGACCCCGCGGATCTGCGTGAGGGGTGGCACCGAATTTCAGAAATGTGGCAAATCCCTGTGTTTTTGGACCCTGACCCCGCGGATCTGCGTGAGGGGTGGCACCGAATTTCAGAAATGTGGCAAATCCCCTGTGTTTTTGGACCCTGACCCCGCGGATCTGCGTGAGGGGTGGCACCGAATTTCAGAAATGTGGCAAATCCCTGTGTTTTTGGACCCTGACCCCGCGGATCTGCGTGAGGGGTGGCACCGAATTTCAGAAATGTGGCAAATCCCATGTGTTTTTGGACCCTGACCCCGCGGATCTGCGTGAGGGGTGGCACCGAATTTCAGAAATGTGGCAAATCCCCTGTGTTTTTGGACCCTGACCCCGCGGATCTGCGTGAGGGGTGGCACCGAATTTCAGAAATGTGGCAAATCCCTGTGTTTTTGGACCCTGACCCCGCGGATCTGCGTGAGGGGTGGCACCGAATTTCAGAAATGTGGCAAATCCCCTGTGTTTTTGGACCCTGACCCCGCGGATCTGCGTGAGGGGTGGCACCGAATTTCAGAAATGTGGCAAATCCCCTGTGTTTTTGGACCCTGACCCCGCGGATCTGCGTGAGGGGTGTCTAAAATGCCACTTTGGGCCTCCCCCCCCTCGCGCGGTCAATCAACTAGTTACAGTAACCAGCAATAAGTCAACTAGTTACAGTAACCAGCAAGAAGCAGAACTGTAACACTGGAAACTACAAGCTACAACTGGTACAGGAAACTGCGAACCTCGCTCGTACAGCCTGGTGGCCCCACAAGGGGGCCGGCGGATTTTTCCCTCGCGTCTCCCGCAGGCTTGCTCTTAGCAATGGCGGCTCCTCGCTCCGCCATCCTGACCGCGGCCGTCGTGCTCGCCTGCACCAGCCTGATGGCCGCTTTCGTGCCCTCGCCGGTCGCGTCGCGCCCGACAGCGCAGTCGCTGCCGACGGCGGCGCTCAGCGCTTTGGCGCTCGCGGCGCCCACCGCCGCCCACGCGGAGGACTCGAGCGTGTGGATCCCTGCCCTGTCCGCCGTCGGCGCCGGCTTCGCCATCGGGCTGGCCGCCATCGGGTCCGGAGTGGGCCAGGGCATCGCCTCTGGCCGCTGCATCGACGGCATCAGCCGCCAGCCGGAGGCTCCCGGCCAGCGTACTCCCGTCGCGTTTTTTGTTGTCCTGTTTCCTCTCTCTCACTCTTTCTCTCACTCTATTTCTCTCTTTCTCTCGTTCCTCCTCACTCGCTTCTCAAGTACTGTGCGTATGTATTTGAGCTGGCTGGGGGTGTGGGGTGGCCCAGCATTGGTCCTGGCCAGCAGAGAAGGAGGAAGAACAGGGCCCCCTCGTCGCCGCGGCTGGACGCGGCTTGAAGATCTGGTCATCGAATCTGGCATCCTGCTGAGTTTCAGGTTGCCGACGACCTGCGCGGCGTGCTCCTCCTGTCCCTCGCCTTCATGGAGTCGCTGACGATCTACGGGCTCGTCATTGCGCTGGTGCTGCTCTTTGCCAACCCGCTCATCAAGTAGGTAGGGAGGGCATCACGTGCGAGGAGGAAGGCTGCTGTGAGGGCAGGGTGATTTGAAAAGAGACCTCGGTCCTCCTGCTCCTGTCGCTTCCCGGCTCGCCGGTGCCCCATCCCGGCCCCTGCCCAGGAGGACGAGCGAGAAGGGCCCGCCTTTCCTCAGGGACAAGCAAGGTCAGGGCGGGACCAGTCTCAGGGGGGAACGCTTCGACGTGCGAGGTTTGAGGTTTTCGGGAGTTTTCGTCGGTTTCGTCGGTTTTCCAGCCTCGGGATGCTCGCCAGCAGCTGCGCCTCATCGAGAGCTTTCCGAGAGGGCCCAGATCGTCCCGAATGGCCGCTGGGGAGCCGAGTTATGCCCTGAAAGCCAGGGGAAAACACCAGGGGCAGGCAATCTCGGGGGGAACGAATCGACGCCCAATGGCCCATTCATCGCCGATAGCCGCCCGATCACCTACCCCGCCCATGAACGTGCGGTTTCGCTATCGGGGGCATATTGCCGATCTCTCGGCGGTGTACCGCCGAGTCCAGCTCGATGTTTCCCCCTCTGTGCTGGTCCCCTGGTGCTTTTCGGTTTGTAACTCTGGCCTCTGGCGGCCGTTCGGGACGAAACGGGCACCTCCAGGACGCTCTCGGCGAGGCGCAGCTGCTGGAAGGTATCCCGAGACAGGAAGCCCGCCGAGAACCGACGAATACGTCCGAAAACCTCAACGCCCCCGACCTCGAAACCTCCTAACCCCCTCAGCGTCCCCCCCTCTGATCTGGCCCCTTCTAACGCCCCCCCCCCCCCATCTCCTTTGCAGTCTCGTCCATCCTCGCTGTGCACCCCGCGCCCTCGTCCTTCTTCCGCTCGGGAGCCCTCGCGGCGCCCGGCAGGCAGAGGAGGAGGAGGAGGAGGAGGAGGAGGAGGAGGAGGAGGAGGAGGAGGAGGAGGAGGAGGAGGAGGAGGAAGAGGAGGAGGAGGAGGACCAGTGTAAGCCCAAGACTCCTCAACGATGTTGGAAGAAACCCTCCGTACAAGCTCCCTCTTCATAGGCCCCTACACGGGTTCATTGCCACTCAGGGAAGGGCCCCGTTGCGAGACAACCGTAGGAAGATCTTGAGGCATGCAAGGCATGCCGAAACAATATTTTCGGAGCTGCAACGCCACGAATCAACTTGGCTGTTGCATCTTGACGATCCCGAATCGTGCCAGAACGCCTTTCCTGGGACCTCAGCACTTCTGATATGGTAGCCATGGGAATCCGCGAAACTCTTGCAATTTCTTCAGCCGGACGTGCGCGGCGCTAAGGCGAGAACCATATTTTGAAAGGGAAATGACCAGAATCCGTGAAGTTCTTTTCACTCCCAACCATCTTGTGGTTTTGGGTCCTCGTTTTGAAGAGACGGTCCCCGCGTCCCTTTCCTCTTCTCTTCTCCTCCTCCTCCCCCTCCTCCCCTCCCTCCTTCTTCCATGCGTTTCACCCACCCAGCACAGCGTTTCGTGGCCCCATAGGGAGCTCCACCGAAGCCCCCAGTGGGACCGCCCGCATGCGTCCCCCACACCCAATTTGGCATTTTCACCCACCCAGTACAGCGTTTCGTGGCCCCTTTGGGAGCTTCACCGAAGCCCCCAGTGGGACTGCCCCTTTGGGAGCTCCACCGAAGTCCCCAGTGGGACCGCCCACATGCGTCCCCCACATCAATTTGGCATTTTCACACGCCCAGTACAGCGTTTCGTGGCCCAATAGGGGCCCCCAGTGGGACCGCCCGCATGCGTCCCCCACACCCCAATTGGCATTGTCACCCACCCAGTATAGCGTTTCGTGGCCCCATAGGGAGCTCCACCGAAGCCCCTGGTGGGACCGCCCGCATGCGTCCCCCACGCCCAATTTGGCATTTTCAACCACCACGTACAGCGCTTCGTGACGCCATAGCCATAGGGAGCTCCACCGAAGCCCCCAGTGTGATCGCTCGCATGCGTCCCCCACACCCAATTTGGCATTTTCACCCACCCAGTACAGCGTTTCGTGGCCCCATAGGGAACCGAAGCCCCCAGTTGGACCGCCCGCATGCGTCCCCCACACCCGACTCGGCATTGTCACCCACCCGGTACAGCGATTCGTGGCCGCATAGGGAACCCCACCGAAGTCCCCAGTGGGACCGCCCGCATGCGTCCCCCACACCCGAGTTGGCATTGTCACCCACCCTGTACAGCGCTCCATGGCCCCATAGGGAGCTCCACCGAAGCCTCCAGTGGGACCGCCCGCATGCGCCCCCCACACCCAATTTGGCATTTTCGCTGACCCAGTACAATGCTTCGTGGCCCCAAAGGGAGCCCCACCGAAGCCCCCAGTGGGGCCGCCCGCATGCGTCCCCCACACCCAATTTGGCATTTTCACCCACACTTTACAACGCTTCGCGGCCCCATGGGGAGCTCCACCGAAGCCCCCAATGGGACCGCCCGCATGCGTCCCACACGCCTAATTTGGTATATCCCCCCACGAAGTGGAGCGTTTCGTGGCCTCATAGGGAGCTTCACCGACGGCCCCAGTGCTACCGCCCGCGTGCGTTCCCCCCCCGCCCAGCGCAGCGCTTCGTGGCCCCATAGGGAGCTTCACCGAAGACGATATTCACAATTGCGGTACCCACAACTTCATATGGTTGGGTCCTTCGCCTGGATATCGTTTTAGACGAATGTGCGCGGCGCTAAGGCGAGAGCCACATTTTGGAAACGGTCTGCCCTCAATGTGTGAAGCTCTTGCATATTTCGCGCGGCGCTAAGGCGAGAAACCAGCTCCCCTCCATTCGTGAAGCTTTTGCAAATGTTTAAGACGAGTATGCGCGGCGCTAATGCGAGAGCCACATTTTGAAAACGACCCGTCCTCACTTCGCGAAGCTCCTGCAAGTCTTTAAGACACATGTGCGCGGAACTAAGGCGAGAGTTACACATTGAAAACCATTCGCCCTCAATCCGTCAAGCTCGAGCACAATTTTCAACACGACTGTACGCGGCGCTAAGGCGAGAGCCACATCTTGCAAGCGGCGCGCCCTCCATTTGTGAAGCTATGGCCAATGTGTAGGCTTTAGGATCATACATGGTGAGGAAGTCTCGGGCGAAACGCCCAGCCCACCCTTCCGAATGGCCACGGGGTGGGACAGGGAGGAAATATTCTTAAGGGAACGGAGTGGACGAGGGGGCCGAGGTCTTCTGGTGCCCTGAGCAAGACGGCGTAGGCGTAAGAACTCGGAGGTTGGATCGGCGCTGGACCCCTGCCTCTGGCGCGCCTCCAGGTGCGCCAGGGCCGGCGCCGGAGGCGCCGCCAGGGGGGTCCAGCGCCAATCCAAGAACGCCCGCGCGGACCTCCCGCGCACCGTGTGCTTCAATACCGGGTGGGCACCCCGGACGCCCCCCCCCCCAGGTGCAGCCTCGAAGGCCACCTGGGATGTGCCGTCTCGAAGGCCACTCGGAGCTGTGTTCGGGCATCCAGGGACGCCTTTGGAGACCCCGGGGGGAGCACCCTCGAGGAGGCATCTTGGAGTCACTCTGCGCCGCCTCGGTGAGCAGTCGAATGGCCCTCGTGCCGTCGATGGACGATTTGTGCCGATTCTGGGGGGGCGTCCAGAGGGCTGGATGTTGGTGAGCTGTGCTGGTAGAGTGTGCCTTCAGGCCCTGGGGTCGCGCGTTCAGGAGCAGCTCAAGATATTCTGATCACATCGCTGCCTGCACTAGCAGCTTCTGGCGCGTTTCTGGATTCAACTTTCGCTCCCCCTGCTCTTCCTCTTCCTCCGCCTCCCCCATCTCCTCGCCCCTCCTCCGCAGCCGTTTTGGCTCAAGCTTCCGCCGCGACACTTGCGCATCGGAATTTTTCCCTCGCGTCCCCCGCAGGCTTGCTCTTGGCAATGGCGGCCCCTCGCTCCGCCATCCTGACCGCGGCCGTCGTGCTCGCCTGCACCAGCCTGATGGCCGCTTTCGTGCCCTCGCCGGTCGCGTCGCGCCCGACAGCGCAGTCGCTGCCGACGGCGGCGCTCAGCGCTTTGGCGCTCGCGGCGCCCACCGCCGCCCACGCGGAGGACTCGAGCGTGTGGATCCCGGCCCTGTCCGCCGTCGGCGCCGGCTTCGCCATCGGGCTGGCCGCCATCGGGTCCGGAGTGGGCCAGGGCATCGCCTCCGGCCGCTGCATCGACGGCATCAGCCGCCAGCCGGAGGCTCCCGGCCAGCGTGCTCCCGTCGTGTTTTCTGTTGTCCTGTTTCCTCTCTCTCACTCCGTCTCACTCTGTCTCTCACTGCATCTCTCTCTCTCTCTCTCTCTTTCTCTCTTTCTCTTTTCCTCCGCACTCGCTTCTCAAGTTCTGTGTATGTGTATGCATTTGAGCCGGCTGGGGGTGTGAGGTGGCCCAGCATTGGTCCTGGCGAGCAGAAAAGGAGGAGAAAGCGGCCCCCTCGTCGCCACGGCTGGACGCGGCTTGAACAACTTGTCATCGAATCTGGCATCCTGCTGTACCTTCAAGAGTTTCAGGTTGCCGACGACCTGCGCGGCGTGCTCCTCCTGTCCCTCGCTTTCATGGAGTCGCTGACGATCTACGGGCTCGTCATTGCGCTGGTGCTGCTCTTTGCCAACCCGCTCATCAAGTAGGTCGGGGGGGCATCACGTGCGAGGAGGAAGGCTGCTGTGAGGGCAGGGCCATTTGAAAAGAGACCTCGGTCCTCCTGCTCCCGTCGCTTCCTGGCTCGCCGGTGCCCCATCCCAGCCTCTGCCCAGGAGGACGAGCGAGGAGGGCCCGCCTCTCCTCAGGGGCAAGGTCAGGGCTGGACCAGTCTCAGGGGGGAACGCTTCGAGGTGCGAGGTTCGAGGGTTTCCGTCGATTTTCCAGCCTCGGGATGCTCTCCAGCAGCTGTGCTTCGTCGAGAGCTTTCCGCGGGGTGCCAGGATCGTCCCGAATTGCCGCTGGGGAGCCGAGATATGACCTGAAAGCTAGGGGGCAACGTTAGGGGGAGGCAGTCTCGGGGGGACGCATCGACGCCCA